TTTTTTTATCATTGAATCCTATCGTTTAGTTCCGAAGGTCTAACACGTCTTTTTGTGTTTTAGAAACGTACAGATTACTTTGGTCCCTTCAAATTTTTATACATTTTCAACGGGCTGTAGAAAAATCACGCGTGTTGACGAGGGTTTCTTCGCACATTTCCCCGAAGCGTATTCGGATGGAAACGCGAGTCGAAGAACGCCCCGCAAAACGCACCGCGGTCCCAGAGAATCGATGTCCCAGAACGAGCACGAGGGGAATTCTGATGATATTTAAGATCCGACAGCAGCAGTTTTCGCGGTTCTATACTTTTTGCGATATCTATTTTCGTGCCGCGGTTTGCTCGTCCGCCTCTTTCCCTCCTCCTCGAGCCTGGTGCCGCGTTTTCCAACAAGCCCCGTGAACCCGAGAGAGAGAGAGAGAGAGAGAGAGAGAGAGAAAGAGAAAAAGTTTAATAGTGGTGACAAAGTAAAGTGGAGCCAGCCTGATACACCCTGATGATCAAAATGGAAACCTCCGCCGTTGTGTTCATTCCACAGAATACACGTAAGCGACTTGGCTTAATTGGCAGCGAAATAATCTAGGAGCGTGTAATTGAGCACATTTACGGAGGAACGAAGGAAATGAGTTTCGATTACGAGGGAGATTAAAGTCAACTCGTCGGTATATCGAGTTGCAGGCCGTGGTTGTAAAACGTTTGACAATATTATTTGTTAAGACACTTAATTTTCGGGAGGGCACGAAGGAAATTTTAGATTTTATTAATGTTTTTAGATCTGTCTAGACCAATGGCGAACCTATGACCCGCGGGTCAGATACGCAGGCTTTTTAAATGACCCACGCGTTGATTCTTATAAACTTATCGTCATATATATATATATAAAAGAATTTTAATTATTTTTCGAACGCCTCTTTCCAAAAAATGTTAAGAAAATTACAAGTATTCGGTTAGAGCTTAAAAGTGAGAAATAAATGCATAATTGTGTTTTACGGAGGATTTACGACTTGGTTACGTATACATATAGGTATTTGAAGTCTTAAATGTTATACGAGTTACTTGTGTCCAAAAAATTTTATATAGCGCTTACGATTGAACAGATGTGATAAACACTAAAAAAACACACTAGATCCCATTCTCAGAATGGGTAGCTTTGCTAGGTTTTTATATAATAAAAGAGAGGACAGACAATAAAAAATATTAAGAAATAAAGTATATATCTAAAGTATATATCTAAAGTGTATATCTAAGTATATATCTAATATATATTTATAGTGCACGGGTGACTGGTCACCCCTTTTGTATCAATTTTTTTGACGTCGACATTTATCTTTTGCTCTTCACTTGCAAAAGTAAAAGTTGTGAAACAAAAAGGAAACGTAAACTTTTTAGAAGATTATAAAAGTGAGAACCAAAAAAAAAAAAATAGTTTTTAACCATCCTCTCCTCCACCTTTCCAAGTGATGCCACTGATTTAGTACTGCCACGAGATAGTACTAAAAAAAATAATGAACAAAATTTGACCTACTTCTCAAAAAGGTTCGCCGTCACTAGTCTAGACTGTGTATCTGTGTGAAATCCAATGATATTTGCAACGTTGTAATTTTTTGACAATATCGATCCCTAATGGGACTGAATTGGAAACAGCTCTGAAAGTTTTATCAATCAAAGAATAAACTATTACACGCAGAGGCCAAACTGATCGAGATTGATCGAAAAATGAAACGCTTTAGTATCCGAATGAAGGGGAGAAAATTGAGCTGATTAATTTGATCTCTGAGCGACTGAATTATCGTTACGCCTGTTTTGTTGAAATTGACGAAGATTTGCACGCGTTCAACTTTTGTCGATTGATCTATCACGCATTTTAATTGGATCGTCTCGCAATCACGACGTCCGAGATAACTTGACGATTGAGAAGAATTGTGTGTGAATCGGTATTATTTTATTCTGTCGAAAGTGTCGTTTGTGTGTTTTTGATTTTTCGTCGAACTCGTATAAAACAGAACTGGAACGAGAACGTTCCACCGTGTAACGTTTTAACGCTCAAGATAATTAGTGAATCGCCTAATCGAATGACCTGATTGCCCAATAAGGTTTTCGGCTACTTTGCCAGTTTCAATTACGTTAATTCCTTCACGGTACTCCACGATTGATACCGTGGAGAATACAAATCAATAATCAATAATCGGAAAAAAATGTATCGCGTAATAGTATAATAAACTAGATACCATTGTTCATTTGGTAGAAAGTAAGTACACTATCAATTTTTGAATTGTCCAAAGTTTAAAGCGATTCTTTAATTATCTGGAGCGAGACTATAAAATTATTTGTCAATTGATAATTAAATATCGTCGATTTGATAGAAGAACGACACGTACGGAAAAGAAAGTCGAATTAATCAAATGAACGTTTAAACAAAGACTCGATTACATATGCTCTATTACATATTTATCTTTGTTCGTGTTACTTTAATTCTTTTAGAAGATTTTTTTGACTAGCAGATTGGTAAGATTTCAATGAAATTATATTAATTAATTAATTAATTAAACAACAGTTCGTTAAAAGTTATCAAACTCTAAAGAGTATCAATAAAAAAAAAAAAACAATATTTTTATTACCAAGTACTTAAATGATTTTCCACGTAAAATTTTGTCGTTCAAATTGACTTTTTAAAAGGTAGCATTTTCTTTTCTGTCGCGTTGTTCTTCCAGCAAACTAAGTCCCAGCGTGAACTAACATAAACGACTGTTCCCCCCTCCGCATCGCTGATCCTCATCCAACTCCTCGACATCCTTTTATCGCATTTCTCTTTCCTTCCTTTCTCTCTGGTCTTCTGTTTCCGGTTCCACGCGGACGTCGGATGACCGCACGCCGCGCGATAAACGCCGACACGATGACGATGATTGCCACAACGTCACAACCGCCACGGTTACCTCGGACACCACGGCAGCGGTAAGTGTTCTGATAAGGCTAGTCACATTCCAATTGTCGTACGGGACACGCGTTCAAGCGCCTCGTCCCGTGTTTGCAATACTAAAATCGCGAACGTCCGTCCCGTTCTGCCAGTCACGTACCTCCGTCTACATTTGGTTCACCTTCCAAACCGACCTCTCACTCGCAGCCCGTTGACGAAATACGGCAGGTCGATTCTTCCAGTTTCCTACCTTTTCCTGGATACTGGAAATATCATTATTATTATTATTATTATTATTATTCTTTGAAGTCACGACACGTTCAATGTATTACATTTATTTAGCCTAGAGACACGTGCTTTTTTTTTTTGTTTAACTTTGAGTGAATCGTGACTTACTGGTTAAATCGAACGTGTTAAAGAAGAATCTTTCCTTCTTTTTTTTTTTTCTGTGTGTCTTCTCTGACACACACGTCCAGTACAACGCTCGTTGATATCGGTGTGTTCGTGTTGGTCGACGATAGTGATTCACATTTCGCGTGAACAATCAAGATTGTCATAATGAGTGGACGCGGAGGGGACAGATTTTCCACCGAAGGGGCATCGTGGTGTTGTGATAACTGGTAGTCGACCTTGCTGGGAAGTTCTCGCGTGAAGGCGTCCAATTAATCCTGTCTTCGGTGTATGTGTGTTTAATTGCCTTCGCGATAAAGACACTGAGGGTCCATTCAATCCCACTGTTTTCGTAGTTTCGTTTCTGCAAGCTGTTTAATCGTTCGTTAATTCGCATACGTATTTAAAGTTCCCGTTCGTTATCAACAGTACAGTTACGTGCTCGAGTGTCGAAAAATGCGACGGACGTCAGAGTGGCTACGCGAGGTCTAACGGTATCCGGTGATCGATTGCATTCTAACGACTGATGCACAATTAATAAAGAAAACGGGGACGATCGTTCTGACGATAGCAATCGTTAAAAATGTCAGCATCTGCGGCATCGAGGCGTCGTTTGAACCCGACAATTCTTGCCAGATACAATGGTCAGCTAACCAAACCGTCACAGCAGGTAGTTATTTTCGTTGCATCTTCCTCTGCAATTGAAAAGTATCTTGTTCGGTTGAAGACAGAATTACGAGAAATTTTTATGAAAATGTTACATTGCATGAATGTATTAACCTCTTGCGCTTGAATGGCGAGAATTTTTTGTCCCAGAATTGCAATATTTCTTCAGTTTCGAGTGTATTTTAAGTATAATCCGGGCAAAGCAAATAATAAATTTATTACTTGTCAATAATTTCTATCCAGTCGAAAAGAAAGCGACGAATTATTATTATTATATATACGATTTGGTCACTCGTTATGGTCCGCAATCAGTTGCCAGCGCAAGTGGTTAGAACAACATTCTTGTGAAACAAGGCTATTGATTTGACTGTATTAGTAAAATCGAAAACAAATTTGAAAGTCATTTAATATAATAATTAACATTATAGATAGTGATTTTACACACGTAATTAATACCAAAAATAGTTTCATTATCTGTTCACTAAATATTGGCTTTTGCTAATATAGCTACAGTAATTGTGTCTCATTATAATGGTAATGTAATTTTGAAATAATTTCGTGTAACAAGTATAATATATTCATACAAAAATTTCTATAAGTGTGTATATAGCATCTTTATCTGTAATTTATTTTTTTGTTGAGTAACACTATGCGAATACTGAAGAAAATGATGAAAGTGGGCTGTGATACACATATTTGTTGATTTAGGGAAAAGTAACTGCTAAAAAGTTTAAAGAATGAATGAAGGTTTTTTTTTCAAGTATTCTGAAATAATAGCAATGATCTAAAATCTAGATAATACCGTGCAATTTGAGCTATTTACGGTGTCAGTGATCGCACTGACTTACCGAGTTATCGTACTTGATATTCCGACGCGACACTAGGAAGTGCGTAGCGGAATACTTGGTGTATCGTTGTGGCCCTAATTGGACTCTGAGCTAATAAGAACATCGAACTATTAAACTATGTGTAACGTTGTGTTCCTGAATGCCACCTGCATTGACTAACATATTGTTTCCGGTCTCTACCGACTTTTATCACAAATAATCTTTGAACAAATAATAACATTATTACAAAATTGCTTTTAATTCAGTCTTTCTAACAATCCGCAAAGATATCAATCCGCACATAATTTTTACATAAACGTACATAATCCGCATACATCTATGTGTGTTTTTCGAATTGAGAAACGAGCATTGAAAAAATGTTTACAGACAGCTAGCGCCATCAGACTCGAGTAGTCTAGTCTGTAGTTACATTTTACAGTACGCTCGTGAAAGCAGCCGGTAAATACGAGCGATACTTCTCTTTTCATTCACTTCAACTAGGAAGGAATAGCTGATTAATACCACATTTTTTTAAGCTATTAATTTTTAATACTACATGAAAAAGTACAACGAGGAATTTCTCTTCACTGTCTTTAATATTTCTTATTTACTATTACAACATATATTTATTTATACTATTACATAGAATAGGCAAACGTATATGCATAGATATCCAGTTATCTCAAATCTATAATATAATACATTTATCATATACAATACAATATAATACAGTTTGAAATATACAAAAGTTGGGAATATTATTTGGAAGCTTCCCAGGAAAGTTCAACAACCGAATCCAAGCAAAAATCGAAATTAACCCGAAACAGTTGGATTCGTTGGAGAACGCGCGCGGGTATATTTTCATTCGAGATCTAGGAAAAATGGTTTCAGACGAGATGATTCGCCGGCTCGGTCGGAACACTGACCGAACCATATATCGAGAACAATATGCTCGCTGATCCACCAGGCTGCTCCGTGCAGCGGCCTCCTATTGGTCGCCGTTAGTCCACGGAACATGCGCAGTGAAGAGAGACAGTCTCGTTGGTTATCCGGCGAGCACAAGCCGACGGGTGTAGTGAATTTACCCCCACTATCGTTGGGGGGTTAGCTGCGTCAGGCGTGGTCGTTCGTTAGAGACCGCAGTATATCCGAGTCTGGCGAGTTGTATGAGTCGGTCTTCTGTGCTGTTGCTTCTTCCCGACCTTTGTTGGCAGGACTGTGTACATATATGCGCGCGTGCGAGTGTGTCAGTGTGCGCGCTTGGCAGAGAGAGGTCGTTTAACTTTTTCTCCCTCGACCACCCCCCCCCCCCCTCTCCTCCTGTTCCTACCGTTGTTTTTCTTTTACTTGCCGATCCGGTGAAACGAAGAACAACGTCGTTGAAATCGTCGGTTCTCTCTTTTCTTCTTCTTTTTTTTTTTTTGTTTCTCTCTCTCTTTTTCGCGAAGCAACAAAACATACCGGGGAACTGGCAATCGATAATGAAACAATGCACAGAAAAGTGAGAGTGAACGTGACCACGTTCGGCCGGTTTGCCGACAGCGTGAATCACCAGCAGCAACACCGGCGTTCATGAGCCCACGCAGCGGTCCTAACCGATGCACGAGAGATTTCTCTCTTTCTCCTCCCTCTTTCGCTCTTTTTCTTGCCACCCTCTCTCTCTCTCTCTCTCTTTTTACTCTTCGCTCCTAGTACTACACGTTTCACGCTCCTCCCTCTGGCACTCGAGTGCCGCCTCGCAAATTTGCGTACGCAAGTTTTCCCCAGTTTTCCACTGTGACAGATAATAAGTATTACGCAGAGTCACAATACGTAGTGAGTATTCCTCCGAACTGGATTAATTGTCCGATGATAAATTCACAACGCGCGCGCGTGTCTGTGAATTATTGTGCTCAAATTGTGCGTTTATTTGCTACGTTTGTCCGCGAACCTATGTCTATGACCGCGATAATACGGTTCTGTTGACTCTGTGCAACGAAGGCGTTTCCAAGGGCACGTCGTAGCTTTCGTTGCGGGCCAATTTATCGCCGTTCAACCGAGCCGAGTTCACGCTCTAAACCCATTGTTTTCATGCCATCGTATTTCGTCTCGTATTCGTTCGATCTCTCATTTCTTTACGACGATTAGAAATGAACTTGAAGGGTTTAAAGTTCCTTGCAGCATTGTTTTCTACGACGAAATAATTGTTCTTGAACTTAACGTTTGTGAGAATTCGGGGTAAATGGCGACCTGAAAGAAAGGACGCGTGTGCGTGCGTGCGTGCATGCGTGCGTAACAAAATACGTGCGTAACACACAATTTTCTGTTCATTTCATTTTGAAATAAACTTGTTATATATAGAGAATTACAATTACAGTCTGTACCACGAGTCTGTGACTCGATTACTAGACATTGTTTTAACATTTTACAATTCAAGTATTTCTCGGATCTCGAGAACCCATCTCGATCGTATCGAATTCGAAGAGTTCCTACATTTTCATCCATTTCAATGAGAGATCCCGTTACAGACACGCCCGTTCTTTCTCTTCCATTTATACTTCTGTCCATTTCCACGGAATAATTAGATCACTCTGTGTACAATATACACGCGTAAGATCTATCTATCTGCATTTTGTGCCGTGTTGACTTGTCGCTAGCGGCCGATGCAACGCGGAATGTGTGTTAATTTACAGTTCTTCTCAGAAAGAACGAGGGCAAGGAACATGACGGAACTTTGAATTATCGTAATTTCTTGACGATAAAACGAAAGGACCAAATTAGAGGGAGAAAGAGAGAAAGAATCGTGCCGTAGAGAGGAACCGCGCGAGATGTCGACGGAAAATCAGAACGGTTCTGCCGGCACGCAGAGCAACGGGATAAAAACGACGATCGGCTGGTCGTCGTCGACGAGAACCGTTACGAACAATTCGTCGTTCTTGCACACCAGCAACTCGATGCTGAACCGTGACAAACCGCGTCAAGTGCCACCGCCGACATTGCCGAAATACACGTCGAGTTTTAACGCCGGTTGGAATGGCAGCAGCGGCACCGCCGAACGATTGAGCAGAGATCGCGAGGTTGGCGGTAGTTACAGGCTAGCGAGCCTCGACAGGCTTGCTCTTAGGCAAAGGATACTCGACGGGGAGAAACCGAACGGCGACACCACGTCGGTAAGCGCAAATAATCATAGATCCAGCGATATATCGATATTTTTGCTTCTGAATTCTGTCATCTATCGATAACTCTGATATTTTTGTTTTAAGACTATACAACGTACAGAGCATAGTGATTGAAATTTTGTCAAAGTATTTGAACACTTTTGAATAATACAGTGATTACGAAAAACATTTATTATCCAACGAAGGCTCAAGTTCTAGATTTTCGTTCGTTGATCATTTGAAAATATGTACTTGTACTCCGAATTAATTAATACGGTAAACGTTGTAACAAGTATTATCATGAATTAATGTATTCGTAATAATGGACTCTCGTTACAATTTTTAAATATTTTGTACGTAATATATTCGTGAGATCTTTCTAAATTTGTAGTAAAATGTTAAAACTGGGTTTTATTCGCGTACAGACGAGTCGATAATATAGGTTAATTACGAAATAATACTATGATGACATGAATGGAATATGAAATTCAATTGGCGCGCATCACATACGAGACACTGTTGGGATTAGTTCTTAAGGTAGATTTTGTATCGATTAACTTAACCTGACGCGTTTAACGGGGGCCGGGTCGTAGAACTCCTAACCTCAGTTAGACTTTGAGAAGCTTCGCCGTAAATCTAAAATCGATAAGTCTATAAAGGCAGTGAACGGACACGCTTTAATTAGAAAAAAAAAAGATCAATTAATAAACCGATTAGCCGGCTATTTTGTACAAAAATCTTTCTCTTATATATCGAAATCTAACCAGAACGAAAATTTCAGTTTCTTTTTATTAAAATTTGTAGCTGTGGAATTTTGTAGGAAGATATTTTTTTTTTTTTTTTTGTTCACGTCGAGTGAATTAATTTCCAGAAATTTCTTAAATTCTGTTAACACGTTGAATCGCTAGGTAAAGACGAAAGTGCATTTTTCGGTAGTCGTTGAAGATTTCGGTCGGTAGACGAGAGATTCTGTCACGTTCCTCGTGACTCCGTAACTCAATCTCCCGACGGCCTCTTGAAGAATCAAATTTTATATCCCCGACACGCTGTGAAGATTACTCGTCTCGACACTCGAGGACCCCCGGCATAAAGAACCACGTGATCGTTCCGTTTATTCTGTTCTCGTGATTCCGTGAGAAAACTGCCTCTATGACTCACTGAGTCTCCGGGTAGATTCAGGTTAGTCTCGCACACGTTCCACAAAAACTATTATCACATCGACCAGGCATAAGTGATACGCAACTTTGCTGACAATTTACGACTAAGATGTATAAGTCAAAACAGTTGAAACAGAGAACGTTAATTGATAAATACTTAGAAAAAAATTAGATTTCAACATAAATGAGAAGAGAATTTGGAAAGTTCAAAATTACAATTTTTAATGTAATCGAATATATGCTATGCGTATTGTAGCAATCTTGACGCTAGAACTACCGACATCTAAACCATAAAATTTCCATCAGAAACGTTAAAGTGAAATGTCTTTATAATATAATAGGTTGCACAAACTTTTATTTATGTATTCTACGAAGAATCATTCGAGCCTCCGAAAGTACATCGTTTTATATCTAACAGAAATATTCAATGGTTGAAATATTTTAACATCTTGCGCTGGCAACTGGTTTGCGGACCGTAACGAGTGACCGAATCGTATACAATAATTCGCATTCTTTTTCTTTTGAACTCGTCGGTATGATTATCACTGGACAGAAATTATTAAGACTTATCATTTGTTTTGCCTAGGTTACATTTAAATATACTTAAAACTGAGAAAATGTTGCAATTTGGGACAAAAAGTTCTCTGCGTGGCACGTCACTCCAGCGCAAGAGGTTAAGATTCGTGAATGGAATCTTTCAATTTTCTATGGGAATACCTACGTTATATATAGGTGAACTAATTGCATCTCATGGATAAGTTGAAAATTGATGAGAATCTCTGTGACGAACACGTGGCAGGTTCACCCTATGCAGGCTTGCATACACGAGAGAGAGGGGGGGGGGGGGCGTAGGGTAGAGAAAAGAAGAGAGAAAGAATTTGCTAGCAAGGGATATGCGTGTGGCAAGAGCGATGAAGAGAAGCATAGTCGAGGGAGAAACATATGGCAGCGTTCTTATCTCCATTTTCATGGGCTTTCGCGTTTGCAAGGACTCGCCTTTTAATTCTCCCGCGGTGTCAAGTACTACTACTCGGTGCTTTTGATTCTTCAAACTTAAACCACATTCTCTCTCTCTCTGCCTCGTTTCTACATTCCTCTTTAATTAGGCTAGATTTCGCGCAACTTAGAAACTTGAACAAACATTGAAACACGTTCTGCCGAATAAATAAGCTTCGGAGGAGTGTAATTCAAGTACCAAGACTGTAATATCTCAGCCTTGGAAACTGGAGTAGTCGTAGCTCTTCGATACACTTAATGTGCACTATGTTTCGCTTAACGTAGCGCAAGATTTTTCTTCTAAAAGTTGAAGATTGTTTGTGAGAACGAGAAACAGAAGTTGAAGAGTTTTGATACAGAAGAAATATTGTTTATTTCATGTTAAAATGTCGTCAAAAAAAAAAAAAAAAGAAAAAAAATGAGAAAATTTCGAGAAGATATTAGGAGTGGGTACGACGTTGAGAACCACTGCGACACCGTGCACATGGGTCACCCTTCGCGTTTATATTGGGGGAAAAGGGGTCCAGTCCGTGTTACGGGGTGATTTTACCCCGAGGGTTCAACCCTCGACGATGCGTCATAGACAATAGAAAAGTACACTGTAATTCGTGACTCACGAAACGAGAAAGAGATATACACATGCTTCAAAGTGGACTTTAAACCGACGAAGGTGCGTGTGCACGTAGTTTTCAACTTTCAACGAGGACATTTAAACAAAGTATTCGCGACAAACTGAAATACAATAGAAGTACAATGGAAATACTTCATTTTTCAATTTCTCGAGACGTGTTTTGAGATATTTGAGAATCCCTGAAACGTACGAAATACAATAGAAGTATAATAGAAATACTTTTAATTTCTCGAGACATGTTTTGAGATATTTGAGAATCCCTGAAACGCACGAAATACAATAGAAATGCTTCATCTTTTAATTTCTCGAGATGTGTTTTAAGATATTTGAGAATCCCTGCGTTTTTTTTCCTTTTAAGTAAAGTGGTTTTTTTCCTCTTTTTTTTTTTTTTTTTTTTTTTGGATATTTCGAAATTACCAAACATCGAATTCCTTACTAAAAGTGTGACTAAGAAACTGATCGATGTCGGCGATCATTGCTTCTCTTGAATTGTACCGATGCGAAATCAATGACGAGACGGGAAAAGATAGAGGCTTCCAAGAAGGACAGACGAGTCCAGTCGTATTCGATAAAATGAATATTTATGACTTCCGTGGTCGACTTTAAATGAGATCATTGTCCCATCTTGGATAAGTGCAGTTAATAAGTGTCGGAAGAATTTTCGAGTCTCTTTTTCTCATATGTACGTAGACACTAACATACATATAAAACTTATCAGAAGCGTATTTTATTTATTTTGTATTTTAAAAGTGTATTTTGACTCGTATAGAGTCACTAGAAAATTCCTCTTGCATTTTGCTCCAAAGTCGTCCGACTTCTTAATACTGAGAATCCCAATTCGTGCGATTTACATTTCAAAAACTTTCCAGAACTCGTCAGGATTTATTAAATAATCGATAATTAGCGAGTTAAAGTTTCACTCGCGATATTAGTCGAGTTGTAGCGAAAGAGATCCTCAGTCACGCATATCCTATTCGAAGGTAAAGATCTGGTGGAAAACCAGTTTCGGTACAACGCCAGGTTCGGTGAAAAGAACGAAGACTCGGCTAGCGTGTAAACTCGTAGCTGGAATGACCCTGGTTTGACTCTGGTTGGAACACGAAGGGGAAACCCGCCCACCCGACACACAGAGCACCCTTTCAGGAAAGCAGGCCGCGTCCCACTTTTTCTCCCTGTGTTTTTTTTTTTTTTTTTTCCTCTCTTTTTTTCCCCCCAAACAACGTGCACGTTCCTCGTATCCGTGTGGTATTTCCAACCCTCCGCGTGGGGGGTGGGGGGATACGTGTGTGCCTAACTGCTTATGGCGCGTTCGCCGCGTGCTCATATATGGTTTTACGTGAATAGCGGTGGACTTTTCAATGAAACAAAACAGAGCGAACAGAGTCGGACACGCGGAAAGATATCCGCGGAGAATAGAAGAAGAGAGAAAGAGAGAGAGAAAAGGGAGAAGATCGGCGGCGAACGCCTCTGCAACGAACTTCCGCAATTACAGCGAAAGCCTCTCCCGTTTTTTTTTCAGGCTTCTCCTCAGTTTCTTCCCAGCGCGTTGTTGGTATCTTCTTTCAGAGGCTCTCTGGATCGTTGGTTAGTTTAAATTCCAAAGTGCAATACAAATTTAAGATTTTCAACGTTCGTATTTGACATTATAAATTCGAACACACGTGCAATACACTTTTAGAGATAAAACGTATCACCGTGTAATCCTTAGTGGACGTAACAGATTTCTATTTTGGATTATTAATGTCTTTAATCCTTTTGCGCTAGTAACTGGTTCACGGACCATAACGAGTGACCAAACCGTATACAGTAATTCGTCCTCTTTTTGAATTCATCGGTATATCACTGGATAGAAATTACTAAATAAAGTAATAAATTTATTATTTTTGCCTGGGTTATATCTCAATATACTTATATATTGAGAAAATATTAGCTTAGATTTAGGTATCCTCAGATGTCTTCTCAGAAGAGAGTGAGTGCAGAGGGTTGAAATGAGACCAAGTGGATCTTTATATGATTTTCTTTTTTTTTTCTTTTTTTATAAAATTCCACTAGTTTAAAACTCCACAAATTTTCGTTTTCACTGGTACATGCTCCTCGCTGTAATCGAGCAGTGAGAAAGCTCATCCTCCAATTCTTCGAACTCTTATCGTTGCAAAACGGGATTTTATTTCCCGTGTAATCATCGTACCTCGCTGTGCGAGGCTCGCGAGGAGCTCGCAGTGTACGTA